GACCTACTATACGCCAGGACTGAGTGGTAGGAACAAAGAAGAGAACAAGAGGGATGTGATCCCTGCTTTTATGGAAGTTACATGGTGAGGGGTGGGAGGCAGAAAACACACAAATAAGGTAAATTTTGATAGTTCTAGTGCTTAGGGAGAAAATAAAATTGGCATTGAGCTACGTAATGACTGGTAAGGGAGGGAAGGCATGTATGCTTTAGAAAGGCCCCAGTAGGAGGTGATATTTGTGTGGAGATGTGGATGACCAGAGGAAGATAACTGTGCAGAAGTCTTCGGGTGGAGGATATCAGGGAAAGGGAACAGCTGGGACAAACGTGCTGATGTTCTGGAAGAAGGGACCGAAGGGCAGTGTGGCTGCAACAACAGTGATCGACTGGAAGTGTGGCCTCAGGGAGGTAGAGGGAGGGTAAACATCTGGGCCTGAACACATAGGGGATGGTTGGGCATGAAAAGGAGCTTGAAATTTCGCTCTAACTGCACTGAAAAAGCACTAGATAATTTAAGCAGAGGACTTGTGTGATCTGATTCATGTGGTGGGAGCAAGGAGACCAGTTAGGCTGTGGAACAGTCCACCCAGAGAACATGGCGGCATCAGATTATAGCAGCGGAGGGACTGGTTAGATTTAGGGTGTAGTTGACGTGCGAGCCAAGAGCTTCTTAGGGTCAGGAGGTAAGGTAAATATACCCGTATTAATTGTGTCATTCCCGCTGCACTCTCTTGTTATCACCCTGCATTAGTCTCAGAAAGCATTGTAGTACGAAATCACTCACCTTCACGTCGGGTCATACATAATCTCAAACACATTGAATATAGGTGAGATAAGGAAAAGGATCCCAGTCAAAACAGATAGACAGCCTATGCATATATTCAAAGGTGAACTCCTCAGAACCTTCCTCAAGTTTCTGTCCTTAAACATATTGATAGTTCTAATGAGCTAATAACTCATGCCTAGAAGGCAATTAAAGGGGAGAGGAAAAGAAAGAAGGGCAGCTTCTAATATGAAGCTGTGTGACTGCAAGCGGGAAGAAAGGATAGATAGATGATGGAGAAAAAAAAATGTATGAAAAGCAGGTGTGAAACTCCAAAGGGCATTGGTGAATTATGGTTTTCTTCACAGTTAATGAAGGTACAGAAGAGTGAATGCCATTGTAGATTGTCCTGCCTATAAAATGGTTGAAACAAAATTAAATCCATTTGGCTTACAAAAAATTAAGCTTTGGGTGTATGAAAATGATCTCATGTGGACCCTTATTTCCCCAAGGTGCTCAATAAATGAATCTTTTCATTGTATTTTGTGGTCATGTACATGAAGTGCTGTAGTTTTATCCCCAGCTGATAAAGGCCTATTAAAGTGTAATGTTCACAGAACTTCCACTTATGGGAAGATGCCATAGATGTATTTTTTCCCTATTCCTCCAGGTAAATGCAACTAAAATCCTGACATTGTATATAAAACAAGCATAAGAAGACTGAAAAGGAGAGAGGAGAAAACAGACTGGCTAGGCACCTTGGGTACTGAGGGACGACACAGCTGTGACTTCATTGGGTTTTCTGGGCTGTTTGTTTGTTTGCCTCATAAAGCCCAGACTTGGAGCCGAAGAAGGCGGCTGCCAGGAAATGCAACAGAAACAGAAAAAAATGTCCCAGCTTAAGCCTGCTTCCTCTACCCAAAGGAACAGGAAAGGGGCAACCTAGCTGGACAGAAAACTAGAAAATGCTGCTCTACTCCAAACACCACCCACACCAGCAAAGCCTGAATGGGAAGGCTGGACTCCTCGTCAGACTGAAACGTGGCTCCCCAACACCCCCATGGACGTGGCGTCAGAGAAGATGGATTTTATCCCCACAGGGGCACAATGTGGAGACCACATGGGGATCCTAGACTTCTACCCTCATCCTGGAGTGTCGCTCTTCCTCTTCCCGCTGGGGTGGTGGTAGAGAAAGCCTCCTGGAGAGTTAGGACTTTCACTCATCACCAGCAGTTAACAAGGCCTCTCCCACGGCAGGGTCAATGGAGAGCCGGGGTGGGGGGCGGGCGGGCAAAAGAAGCTCTACCCAGGCCCAGCAGTTAAGAAGAGCCCCCACGTGGGTCACAAAGGAAGCCAAGTGGAGAACCTGGACTTCTGCTTCCACTGGGTAGTAACCAGGTGGCATCTCCCTGCTCCCCGACCTGAGTGGTTTCAGAGAACAGCAGCTAAAACAGATTTAAATAAGGTCCAGAGCTGTATAACATGATATGAAAATGTCCAGGTTTCAACCGAAAAATCACTCATCATACTAAAAACCTACTTTTAACACTTTCATTCAATGTAGTGATGGAAGTTCTATCCAGTGAAATAATCCAAGGAAAGGAAATAAAATGCATCTAGATCAAAAGGAAGGAATAAAACTGTTCGCAGAAGAAACGATCGCCTACTTAGAAAATACCAAGGAATCTACCCAAAAAAGTTCTAGAACTAATATATAAGTTTAGCAAGGTCACACGCTGTACAAAACAACTGTTTCTGTATACTAGCAATGAACACATGAACACTGAAATTGAAAATACAATATCATTTACCATCCCTTAAACAAATAATAATTGGGTATAAATCTAACAAATTATGTCCAGGACTTGTACACTGGAAACTACAAAACTCTGATGAAAGAAAGTAAAGGAGATCTAAATACATAGACATACAGTGTTCATGGATTGGAAGACTCAACACAGTAAAGATGTCAGTTCTCTCTAAATTGTTATACATGTTTGTATATTTCCTATCCGAATCCCAGCAAAATATTATAGTTGTAGACAAGGCTATTCTAACATTTATGTAGAAAGGCAAAGAAACTAGCATAGCAAAGAATAATAAAGTGGGAAGAATCAGACTCAAGGATCAATTTCAAGATTAATTATATAACTACAATAATTAAGAGTGTGTGGTATTGGTAGAGAGATAGACACATAAATCAGTGGAACAGAAACAAGAACCCAGAAGTAGAGCCACAAAAATATACTCAGCTGATGCTGACAAACACAAAAGCAATTCCGTGGAAGAAAGATAGCTTGTTCAGTTAATGGTGGTGGAGCAATTGGACATCCATAGGCAAAAAACGAATAAACTTTGACCTAAGTCTCACGCCTTACACGAAAATTAACTCAAAATATATCACAGACTTAAATGTAAAATGTAAAACTAGGAAACTTTTAGGAGAAAAATAGGAAAAAATTTTTAGGATCTTGGTCTAGGTAAATAGATCTTACACTTAACATTAAAAGCATGATCCATGAAAGGAAAACTCGATAAATTGGACTTCATCAAAGTTAAAAACTTTTGCTCTGTGGAAGATCCTGTTAAGAAGATAGGGGAGGGCTTCCGTGGTGGCGCCCGGGCTTCCTTGGTGGCACAGTGGATAAGAATCTGCCAGCCAATGCAGAGAACACAGGTTCGATCCCTGGTCCAGGAAGATCCCAGGTGCCCCAGAGCAGCTAAGCCCGTGCGCCACAACTACTGAAGCCAGCGCGCCTAGAGCCCGTGCTCTGCAACAAGAGAAGCTACCGCAGTGAGAAGCCCACACACCGCAACGAAGAGTAGCCCCGGCTCGCCGCAGCTAGAAAAAGCCCGCGCACAGCAACGAAGACCTAATGCAGCCAAAAATAAATAAATTCAGAAAAAATTTTTTTAAAGAAGATAGGGGAAAAAATCTATAGACTGGGAGAAATTTATTACAAACCACATATCTGATAAATGACTTACATCTAGAATGTATAGAGCTCTCAGAACTCAGTAGTAAAAAATAATCCAATTATAAAATGCTAAAGGACATGAAGAGACATTTCATCAAAGATATAAAGATGAAAAATAAGCACATGAAAAGATGTTCAATATCATTAGCCATTGGGGAAATGCAAATTTTTAAAAACCACAATGAGATATCAATACACACCTATCAGAAAGGCTAAAATTAAAACTAATGATAATGTGAAATGCTAACAAGGAAGCAGAGAAACTAAATTACTCATACATTACTGGTGGGAATGTGAAATGATACAGCCACTCTGGAAAACAGTTCAGCGGTTCCTTAAAAATCTACTGTATGACCTAGCAATTACACTGGGCACTTATCCCATAGAAAATGAAGACAAATGTTCACACAGAAACTTGTACAGGAATGTATATAGATGCTGTATTTGAATAGCCAAAATGTGGAAACAACCCAGATGTCCTTCAACGTGTGAATGGCTGAACATACTTGGTACGTCCATACCATGGAATACTACTCAGCAATAAAAGGGAGCAAACTATTGATACATGCCACCATGGTACCATGTGAGACCTGGAAGAATCTCCAGAGAATTATTCTGAGTGAAAAAAAGCCCATCAAAAAAAGTTACATACCGTATGATTCCATTTGTATAACATTCTTGAAATGCCAAAATTATAAGAAATGGAGAACAGATTAATGGTTGCCAAAGGCTTAAGGCAGGGCTGGGGGCAGCATAAGGGATCCTTGCAGTGATGGAAATGTTGTTCTGTACCTTAATTTCGTCAATGTCAGTGTTCTAGTCATGACATTGACCTCTAGTTTTGTAAGATATTTACCGTTGGGGGAAACTGGGTAGAGAGTACGCAGGGTTGCTCTGTGTTATTTCTTATAACTGCATGTGAATCTACAACTGTCTCAAAATTTAAAAATTGAATTAAGCCCATAAAAACAGAATGTATTGGATCATTTGTTAGTTTAATGATAAGATGGATAAATCATCCCAACTTGTTGGATACCGTGCTCTCTCCTCAGATCCTTTTTGTGACAATTCTATGGTAGCTAGACGGGTAGGTGCGTGGACGGATGGTTTTTATAGTATAGAGTTAGAGTTTTATCAAAGGAAAACGCGGTCGGTGGGAAAAGCCGGGGTATGTCCCTTTTCCTTGTTGGTCATCTCGTGTTTCAAGGGAATACCCAAAGCCACCATCTAATAAAATGTCACGCTCCTTCTCACCCTCAGGAAAGCCACTAGTGAAAACATCCCGAGGGACTGTGTTCAACACGGAGGAACCCGCGATCACAGTTGATGTAGGAGGCACCGTCAAAACAGTTGGAGGCGTGAATGTGACTATTAACTGCCAAGTTGCAGGTGAGAAATGCATTCATATGTTAATTCATTTGTTCAAATATTCATGGAGCCCTGTGCTAGGTTGGGGGCTGAAAAGATAAGTACAAATTCTACTCTCAGGGATTTGGGGCTAGTAGGAAGACTCAAGCATGAACCTCAGTCACTCCGAAAGTGGAAAGTGCTGCCGGAAGTTGAGAGGAGGAAAACTGGGACAGATGAAGGGAGAAGAGATGGTTTTTATCTCCATCTTGCATACTGGTAGAATGTGAGCATGCAAAGATGGGGGCAGAGGGTGTTCCAGGGTGATGACAGAGTGTGAGAAAATTCATGCAAGTAGGGAAGCTGCAGGACTTCAGGGGAACAGCGTGTGCTTTGGTCTGGCCAGAGCCCAGAGTACATAGATGGGGTGGTGGGGCTTAAACTTTAGTAACGTGGGTTGCACCTGTGCCGTGGCAGACTTTGAACGCTTGGATGAGGAGTTCAGACAAAGGCAGATTGAAAGTGACATTGAGGGGCCATGCAGTGCATAAAATGGGTTGAAGAAAAGAAATACAGGGACAGAGAGTCCAGTTAAGAAGCCATCATAGTAGGGCTTGCCTGGTGGTGCAGTGGTTAAGAATCCGCCTGCCAATGCAGGGGACACGGGTTCGAGCCCCAGTCTAGGAAGATCCCACATGCCACGGAGCAGCTAAGCCCGTGCGCCACAGCTACTGAGCCCGTGTGCCACAACTACTGAAGCCCGTGTGCCTAGAGCCCGTGCTCTGCAGCAAGACAAGCCACTGCAATGAGAAGCCCGTGCACCGCAGCAAAGAGTAGCCCCCGCTTGCCGCAACTAGAGAAAACCCGTGCACAGCAATGAAGACCCAACACAGCCTAAATAAATAAATAAATAAATTTATATCCAGAAAAAAAAGAAGCCATCACAGTAGTTTAGAGCAGAGGTGCTGGGGCCTGAACTCAGGGCAGTGGTGGTGGAAAGCTCAGGAGTGGATGGCAGGGGTAAGGCCAACAGGAACCTGGAGCTTACTCACTTCAGAAGTGGGTAGGAGTCATTAATGAAAACAGCCAATGCTGTTAGGAGTGGATATAGACATTGCCCTTGGGTAGGCCTTGCAAACTCAGAGGCCTAAAGGGACCAGAAAGTCACAGGGAAGTGGAGGAGTAGTGGACCAGAGGAGGTTGTAGAATGCTCTTTATAAAGGCATCTACCATCAATTAAAAAATAAAAAACACCCACATAGACCGGAGCAAAGCTCAGCTACCAATTCTCCCTTCCCGTGAACTGCTAGCCTGTCTACCCCAAGGGTTTTCACACCCACAGTGCAAAGAAAAAATGGATGGCTCTTGTGCCCAGCCACAGTCCCCTGATTGCTGTCCTCATCAGATATACCTTCCTGCGGCACCCAAACCACAGCTCCCCAGTCATAGCCTGTCTGCAAAAAGGACAGGCATTGGCACCCCCTGCTCTGGGGGTTTCTTCATCTTAGATCTCAACCCCAACGTTGGAAGATTTACCTCCACTTGTGATTTTTAAGGCCAGAGAGAACCCATTTGAAAAGAAGTAGGAGGAGAATCTTCATCTAGAGCATGTTGTTTCCAAAGAACAGCCAGGTCTGGTTTTTCTGTGAAATGTTCTGGTAGCTCCAGGAACCCAAAAGTATAAATCTCTCTCTGTCATCATGCATTAGCTTCTTCTTGGTAAAGCTTCCCTTGGCCTGTGCATCCAACCTCATCAGTGAAAGCTTCTGGAACGAAATCCCTTCAGGCCCTCTACTCTGAGATTGGGAGTAGGACAGAATCTCTGACAGGGCTTCCCATGAATGAGTTGCCCCTCTATACACAGACTGGTGGTAGAGGCGGGGTCCTCTGTGCAGGACCATCACTCCTCACGTGATCACTAGGAACATGGGCCTTGGAGACAGGACACCAACTGGAGATATGATGGACCATGTTGGGTCTCCTCTTGAGCGCTGGGATTGGTAGGACTAAAAGAATGGGAAGCAAAGGGCAGCAAAGCAAGGAATTGGGCATCTGAGGGAGACTGAGAGAACCAGAATCCAGGTGGAGAAGTATTTATCATGGGGAACCCAAGACAGTCAAACCAGCTTTGGTCAACTCTTCCATGCCACCTAAGGCCGTGTCTCCCGACTTCATCCAAAGACTCACTCTCGGTAACCTGATGGTGAAATCCTAGGTTGTTAGGTCCAGTTTTTGCCTGGCTATGGACATTACGTTCTTTGCTTTTATGTTGATTCATAGGGCCATTTGTATTAATCATGGTTAACTAAGATAAATGTGTGTCTCTGCCATTATGCCTTTTGTTAAGTAAGATTTTTATTCAATGTAGATGGGAAAGAGCCTGCTTTTGATTAAACTGTTGGTCTGTGAATTTACTGGACAAAGAAATCATTCTTGAGCTGAGTCTCCAGTCAAAATTCTGACAGCCATAATGCTAAATGGCAGAAAAAACTAGTTTTACTTTGATACTACAAGTAGCTTTTATGGCTGTCTTGTGACATAATTTTAATGGCTATATAATAGTGTATTTTAAAAATATTACATAATTTACCTAGAATAACTCATGTCCTTACATGTTTGAGTTGTTAGCAGTTTTTCATTAAATAACTTTTTGCATACATATGTTTTCAACGTGTAAAATTCAGCCTCACAAATTCTTCCCAACTCTTAAGCATAAAAAGCATTAAGCAATGAGTATGGTGAGGCTTTTTCTTGAAAACTGATCCAATCCCTTAATACCACTCCCAAACTTGTTCTCTATTTAAGAAAATTCAGAAAACTGAGTAGGAGATAAAGGGTTGGAGGAGGAGGGAGTGTTTCAGTCATTGGGAACAGGGTGTACCTGAGGAAGAAAGAGTGTGTTGCATCTGAAGGAGTGAAATGTGGCCGGTGTGTCTGTAGGATGGAGAGCAGAGAAGAAAGCAGTGTGACATGTGGCTGGGAGGTGGAGAATAGTAGGCAAGGGCTAGATCTTATATGCTTTCCTAGATTATGGTACAGTTTGGAGCAAGAGTAGCTTTTGCAGACTTAGGATATAAAATTGTGAGGACTGGTCATGTAGAAATAACTAGTTGAGGAGTCAATGATAGGCAGTGTATTAGCTAGGGAAGGCTAGACTCTGGTAACGAGTAGATTCCCAAATGTGTAATGACTCAAACACAATAGAAGTTTATTACTGCCTACCTAGGAGTCCAAAGAGTGGTCCTGGTCAGCTGGAAGGGATCTTCCCCCCACAGTCCTTCAGCATCACAGAACACTGGTGGCTATGTTATCTTGAATACATGCCTTCCGAGGTCTCCCCAGAGGTTCTCTCTATCCTGTCAACCAGAAGAGGGGAAAAACAAAGTGTAGACGATGGTTGAGAAGATTTTAAGGGTGACACCTGGAAGGAGCACACATTTCTACTTCTCACATTCCTTCTTAGTCACATGGCTACTCACAGCTACAAGGGCTGCTGGGAAATATAGCCGGGCTGGGTACCCAGGAAAAAGAAGAAACAGCTATCAGTGTCTGCCACAGTCAGTGTGAAGAAATGTGGAAGGCTGAAAACCTTTCCAGACTTACATGGTTCTTTAGAATAATTGCCAAGGCTGACATTTAAGCTACTGTATCCTTTCCTTGTCTTGCACCAAGCCATCAAAGAAACTTCTAGAATTTATCATGTCAAGGTGTACCTTTCAGTGGATGCCCCACCTCAAGATGTTGACAAGTCGCCATGGTGCAAGCAGCCTTCCAAGTGTAACAAGTGGTCTAGTTAACAAGAATATCCTGTCTGGGATTTAAAAAAAGATGATTATACATCACCCTACCTGGCAGCTCAGTGGAGATTAAAGACACTAATCCTCATAATCATATCAAGTTACATCCCATTATGACTACACTCATTTACTGATCCTTTCAAGCAGCAGGAAGAGCACTGTGTTATTGATAAGATATACCACAAAGGGGGAAAAGTAAAGGCAGGTCCTTTTCCTTCCTTTTTTAGACACAGATCATACCAGGGAGTCCAGAGTGTGGAGCCTATCCAACTCACTTGTCAACAGCATAGCTTTGGACTTTGTTCTGTGGTGGAGTATATTTTTTGTCATTCTTCAGACATTTCTTTCTGTAGAATGTGCTGGCACATCAAAACAGGCTTGGGGGAAAAAAAAAAAAAAAAAACCTTCCACAACCTGACTAAGCTTCTCACCAAGAAGAGCACTAGCAAAGCCAGCACAAATGGATTCTAGAAAGTTCTCTCTTAACAATAATCTTGGTGTTACAACTACAGCAGAAAGGTTAATCCCCAAAGTAGGAAATATTTAAGGATTTGATACCAGAAATAATAGTGCAGCAATTCATACCTCTTCTAAGGAAGCAGGCTGGTATAATGGCAGGCGGTGTCATGTACTTGTTAGGAAGGGGATCCCTAGCATTAAATGTATCTGAGTTTGGATCCCCACCTGCCATTTGTAGATCACTGATTGACTATGAGGTAGAGAGGAGGTACAGGGACTCTGTCCCCATGTAATCATTCAGGAATCCAAACTAATGTCATTTTAGGCAGATTTCATAATCTCTTCAGGTCCCAATTTCCTCATCAGTAAGATGGAGTTAATAACAATGCTTCGTAGGACCTTTGTGAAAAATGAGTGACTATGTTTATGAAATGTTTGGCTGATAGCAAATACTCAGTAAATGTTCTTTCTCCATCTAATGTGTTCAGGATATTTTTGTATAGCTCCTGACCTTGGTGCATTCCCAATGTCTAGGTATTCTAAACATCATTGTTAGGTATGTATATCTGGTACCTTTTCCAGGGACTCTGGCATATATGAGGGCTGGTGATATTTTCTGAAGCATCATTGTCATCTCTTGAGAGAAAAAGAAAAAAGAGATCTCTGGTGCATCGTTTATTTTTCTTCTCCCCTTGTTCCAACTTTGTTTGTAATATGTCAGAACCGGTCATGGCAGGACTGGCTGTCATTCCAAAGTATCTTTTTGGTGTCATTCTCTCCTTAAGGCGCATGACCGCAGGCAGGAATCCCCCAAAATGTGACACTAGCAACTCCATCTCCATTGGCAAATTCTTGATGCAGGTCCGTGTTTGAGGGAGTCTAAGAGAGGTTTGCTAATCTATGTAGTAAAGAATGATTCCTACATCATTTGGCTTCCCTCGGCACTGCTGTCACTTCTGTGGTCGCGGTTTTACAGAGACTGGAGGTCACTTCCTTCTACCCTTCGTTATCCTGAACATGTCCATTTCTCCCATGAACTCCCCTGCTCTCAACTGAGGAATTCGGCCCTTTTAGCAAAGACTCTGTTTTGTCCTGTTGAACAGACTTGCTTTCAAAGGGGCATGAGGCCAAGAGTGATGAAGTGATGAAGGAAGAAGCTTACCCCCACTTCCTGGAGACACATGAGAAATGGCTCCATCCCTGGGTCATCTCTCTCTCCCTCCTCCTCTTCTTTCTCACCATCCGTGTCTCCCCTCTGGCTGCCCTACAGTCACATAAGCCCTGACCAGTGAATGACACATAGGGGAGCAGCAAGTCTTGCTGCAGGAGCTGACCGTGTAAACCCAGTGTTGGCTCTGGAGACACACATGCCATGGCCCATGGACACTGTCATGGAGAGACAGCATTCCCCCCGACCATTCACTTAGTCATCACGCTTTTGCTGGTGGAACTGACAGCCCATTAGTCTGGTTCTCTGACCCTGCCTCCTCGCTCTAGAACAGCCTCAGTTCCTATCAGGGATTGTGTGCTTACTGCCCGCAGCCCTCCTCCAAGGAAGGTGCCAGTGACAAGTGCTATGTGTAATCAGTTCATGGTGAGGGAAAAGTGGGTGAACACTTGCAAAAGATGGTTTGTAGGACCTCATTTTTCCTTGCACTTTCAGGAGAGAAATGACTGGCAGGGTTTTCTTCAACCTACTTTTCAGAGGCTTTCTCCTGAATGCCATGGAATTTTTTTTTTCCCCAACATGAAAACGGAGCTCAGGGACCAAAGTCTAAGCTGGCCTGGCTGGGCATCATGATGCTCTTGCTCTCCCTAGTGGTGCTGCAATGAAAAATCATCTTTTCTGCCTCTCACCTGCATCTTTTCTCCAGGTGTATTTAGAGATAGTGCCAGCCTGGCCCCTCTCATGCACCTGAGCCTTAAGTTTCACAGTGTGTGCCCCTCCCTGATGGGACAGGGCTGCAGTATCCAAGTCTCCACCCCCTTTCAGCAGCCTTGCCTCCTTTCTCCGGCCCTCCTGCCAGTCCCTAGTGATTCACATTGAATTATGGGTAATCTGAACAACAACAAAAGAGAGAGGACCAGAGAGTCACTCTCCTGTTCCCCATTTACAGGGAGAAAAGTCCTACAGATTGGCCAAACACTTGGGCCACACACCTTAGGCCACCATTCCACCACTGGAAACTCCACCTGAGGCAGGAGGCCCGCAGGGACACCAATGAATTCACACAAGGTAGCTCATTGTTAGTGAGGGAACATATGAGACCACCCTTCCATCCCACCCCACTTCCTGACACTGGGAGTTCAGGAACAGCAAGTGCTCAAGGGGTCATAATGAGGGCTGATGAGCTGGCTGTTACAAAGTAGACTGTGGGTAAATTTTGTTCATCAAGGAAAAGCAACAGGTACACAGGTAACTACTTGAAGGTGTCTTCATTTTCAACAGTAGGCTGCCCATGAAGGGTAAGGCTGCCCTTGCCCCAAGGGCAAAATCCATCCCCAACTCAGGGAAAGCACAGGACTAAAGCTCTGGCTCTGACTGTTCCTGGCTTTGACCCTGTTTACCTGGATCTGACATTCTAAACCTGCCCTGGATACATGTCCAAGAATTTTATGAGCAAACGGTGTGAGCTGAGTCAGCAGGCTAGACAGTGCAAGGGATGGAGCTTTCTACTCCCTGGAGACATGTGAATTAATGCCACACACTTTCTGTCTCTCAGCTCACTCAGAGCTTGGCCTCCTATGCAGACCATCTCAGAAGCCTTGTCCTAAACTGGGGCCTGCTTACCAGCATGTGACCCACAGGGAAACTTCCTCAGGAATTAAAGCCATTCTTTTGTCTTAGTCTACTCAGGCTGCTATAACAAAATGCCATACATTGGGTGGCTTAAACAGCAGAAGTTTATTTCCCATGGTTCTGGAGGCTGGGAATTCCAAGATCAAGGTGCCAGCCCATTCAGTTCCTGACCAGGACTCTTCCTGGCTTGCAGACAGCTATCTCTTGCTGTGTCCTCACAGCAAGATGAAGAGAGAGAAAGAGAGGGTCTCTTCTTATAAGGGTACTAATCCCATCACAAGGGCCACCCCCCTCATCACAATCTCATCTAAACCTAACAATCTCCAAAGGCCTCACCTCCTAACACCATCACACTGATGGTGGTTAGGACTTCAACATATGAATTTACAAAGGACACAGACATTTAGTCCATAACACTCCTAGAGGATAGAGCCTGACTTCCAAAGACAGGAACCCCATCCCAATTCAGATGTGCATACTCTCCCCAGCTCTCTCTCACAACAATAACTTAGATTGAGGAGAGAGCAGAACACTTTCTTTTTGTCTTTTTCTGTGGTGATACTGATAGTTCAGTCTTTTCTTGTTCTAAGAAAATACTTAGGCTTCAAAAAATACAGGCTTGTTTTCTACATGGAGTGTCAACTCTGGTAAGGATCTAGCAGCTTTCATTTGTCTGGTTCATGAATATATCAACATTTTGTAGCTTTTAGCTTTCTACTGAGATATAATATTTATACAGAAAAGTGCACATATCATAAAGGTCCCAAGCCCACCAAACCAGCCCCCAAGTTAAAAGACAGAGGATTACTAGCAACCAAGCTCCCCACTCTCAGTCACAACCCCTCCCAGTCCATCCCAGCCTCTCAGAGGAACCCCCCACTCTGACTGCTGACAACAGAGTACTGATGTTACCAATTTTTGTTTTCTACTTTCAGAAACAACATCATACTGTGTACTGTGTGTATTCTTTCACGTCTGGCTTTTCTTATTTAACGTTAGGTTTGTTTCATGTAGTTGTCAGTCATTCATTTGCCCTGGTGTATACATTCGGTTCTGAGGTGTTTTCTCCAAAGAATTTGGGTTCACTCCTTCCACCCTGGCAAGTGCCCTTTTCCCAGCTGCCTCCTTCCTCTTCTTGAACTGGCCTCTCTCTTCCTGACTCATCAGTGTAAGGTTTAAAAGGCAAAAGATCTCAAGACAGCTGAGAGGTCAGAAGCATTATTTAGTTTGGCTGAAGGGGAGTAGAAGACGCCCAGGCACATGCTTCCTGCAGAGCAGCCCTGGGTCGGGCCCTGGCAAGAGGCTATAAATGCCTCCAGGGTCACCTGAATGTGTTGGCTGATGAGTTTATTTTTTTTCCTCCTAGGTGTGCCTGAAGCCGAAGTCACTTGGTTCAGGAATAAAAGCAAACTGGGCTCCCCTCACCATCTGCACGAGGGCTCCTTGCTGCTTACAGCCGTGTCCTCCTCGGATCAGGGCCTGTACTCCTGCAGGGCGGCCAATCTGCACGGGGAGCTGACTGAGAACACCCAGCTACTGATCCTAGGTAAACACCTCGAGGCCGGCTGCCCCCTGTGGACCCCACTGGGGGTGACTGTCTTATCCACCCTCTACCTCCTCCTGTCCCTGATCCAATTAAGTGCATAAAGGTAAAATCAATATCCCTTCCCTTCTCCCCACCTTAGGGCCCCCCAGTAGAAAGAACACAGACCTTGGGGCCAAGCAAGCCAAGCAGACGTCAGTTAGAACCCTAGCTCTACTGCTGACTCACTGTGTAACCTGGGCAAGTCACTTAACCTTGCTAAGCCATAGATGCTAGTCTCTGTGTAGAAACTTATGGAGCAAGATTGCCCATATTTGGGTAGGGGTTGGCAAATAGAGGTAACAGAAGTACAGCAGTCGCTCTTAACTCCTTCTATGTTAAGGACTTCCTGGAGAATCAGACGAAAACGCTAGATTACCTTGTCGAGAAAAATTCATAAATGCAAAATTTTTTGTAAAATTTCAGGAGGTTCGTAGTCTAGCCCACCTAAAGTCCCCACGTGTACACCCCCTGTCTTTGTCCGTTCCGGCTGCTATAGCAAAATAGCCACAGATTGGGTGGCTTATAAGCAACAGAAGATTGTTTCTCACGCTTCTAGAGACTGGAAGTTCAGAATCCAGGTGCCCTCATGGTCGGTCAGGCTCTGGTGAAGGCCCTCTATGTGGCTGCAGAATAATGGCTTCTTACTGGGCCCTCATATGGCTGAAGGGATGAGCCAGCTCTCAGGGGTCTCTGTTATGAGGACACCAATCCCAACCAGGAGGGCTCCACCTTCGTGACCTAATCATCTCCCAAAGTCCCTACCTCTTAATATCATCACCTTGAAGGAGTTAGGATTTCAACATATGAATTTGGGGGATGCAAACATTCAGACTACAGCACCCCCAAACATAAGGACCTCTGATTGAAGAGTCTAACATAGTTCCTGGCATAAAATAGTTATTTAAAAATAACAACAATTGCTGAGACACCATCAACACTCATTGATGCCCATGGCTGGACTCAGCCACGTGCAAGCTACAACCCTTTTGTCCCATGGATTAGGACTCTGCTTCTCTTCCCCACAGAGTCTGGGAATTGGTGGGATAGGATAAAGAAGCTTGTTTTTGTCTTACTTTTTTTTAAAAGGCAATTATTAGAGCACGTGTGCTGGCTATCTCAGGAAGAGAAAACCATCATTCGTAGGGGAAAAAAAAAAAAAGGAAAATGTGAGAAATATGAATAATTACACACCACGCATACATACACATACATACGTTATGGGCTTCCGCGGGGAAAAATAACTAAACTTTGCATTTTCACACCCCAAATTGATGATATACCAAAGCATAGGGTCTACCCCTGCCCACTCAGATTTCAGAGATGCCCCCACATGGGTTTTCACCTCAACGGTGGCTGCATAAACCTCCAGTTATCTTAGGAAGCGGCAGAAAATCAGCTCCGTGAAGGATGTGATTTGTTTTGTGTTGGATTTCATCTGGCTGAGCTGCTCGTCTAGAGCCTGGGGCCCAGAGACTCTTGCCCCACACTGAGTTATGGAGCTTACTGTGGGCTTTTCCTCCCTAATAACCCTTCCTTGTCGCCTCTGCTAACAGAGCTGAAAGCCTAGGAGGTGTAGCTGCTACCGCAGCTCCACCAGTGAAGTGTGTACGGTCTGGGAGCCAGATCTGTAGCATTCCAGTGCTAATGCAGTGTGACCGTGAACGTGGAGTTTGAAGAGCATGACGTCTTCCCATTTGAATCAAACTGGATGGGAAAAAAAAATCACTAGTTAGATTCTTAATTTTAGGGCTTTCCGCAATCAGAAGTCTTGGTTTATTCATCAGAGTCTGTTACTTTCTTTAGGTACTTTATGGACATAGAAGTAGTGTTTCTCTTTTTTTTAATCAGCCCAAAATGTGACTTAATTTTTAAATGAGGGATTTCATGTGTAAAGCTGAGGTTTCATGCCAAGGCCTGTGACTTAACCTGTAATGTGGAGACTTGAAGTGTCATGAGGTGGACTTTCTCTCATGTGTTCGTATAACTATTCATTAAGTGGGATGACTATTCATTAAGTGTTGCCTCGGAGTCTTATGTAGAGCTTTAGGATAAATACAAGCAGTGACCTCTGTCCTTGGGGAATTTACAGTTTCCCTCAGAAGATCAGCTGGACATGCCCTCAAGAAGTAAATTATGACAGAAGCTGTAAGGACATTAGGAGGGTGTGACATTTGGCCCCGAAAGATCGATGGTTTTAAAGATGGGGCATAACCTCCCCTTTTGGCTCTTAATAAATAAGCAAAGACTTCTTGAATTTTAATATTCTTGAAGGACTATTCAATTTCAGTACTCTTGAGGGAATTCCATTTCCCTCAATATTCAATTTCAGTCTTTTTGAGGAAATATTAAAAAGGATGGGAGGAAAAGAGTCTAGGTTTGAATAAACGGTCACTATCAGTTCCTAAAATGATGGTATATCAGAGTAGAAAGAGACCTTGGAAATGATGAGGTTTTTCATCATTTTATAGATGAAGAGGCTAAGGCTTAGAGGGATTAAGTGACTTGCCCAGGTTAGTGAATGAAAGAGCCACAGCACAAACTGAGTTCCTGAATCCAATCACGATGTTTTCAACCTATACCACAAAAAGAATATTTTTAAATTATCTAGAATATATAGAGAATGTCTTTTAAATTTTTAATTTATATATATATAAATATATAAATTCATCACCGTTTTCTGTATGTGATGGCCTTTTGCAGCCAAAGGCACAGTAGACAGAAGGCATGTTTCTGAAGTAGATTCAGGCACCACTGTGACTTATTTATTTGCCATCCCTAAAAAGTACTGAACAAGGTGACAAGCACACAGTAGGTCCTCACTGAACACCGTTGAAATGACCATCAATTACAAGCGCAACCCTCCTGCTTCTCTTTCCACTCCAACAAGTGCTGTAGAGTAAAAGGTGGGAGTTGGCCTTGGAGTGTGAAGCAGGGCTACAGGAGAGGAAAGAAGATGGGGAACAGAATTCTGCTTCTTTCCCAGGAGAATCTGGGATCATCCTACCACTAGGTTCAGCA